CTTCAAATAGAAAAAATGTCAATTGGATGTTTCCCCCCAAAATGATGTAGCTTATAATTACAATTTTGGTTTTCTTTGTGATCTCTGAGGGGGAGAAAATATGTGCCTTTGTTTCTTTGATACTGAATGAGTCCTTTGTACTATTTTATTCAAGTTTTTCCTCTCCTTTTACCCACGAATCAGGCCTTATGTCAAATTGAGAAACAGATGTATAATTTTTCAGTAGCTGCTATTATATTCTGACTTCCCATTGACATACAGACTGTGCTTTATGACAACTCATTAAATTTTTTTGTTTGATGCACTTTAATATGAAGGTCCTAAAACTGGACCGAGGACGTTGTTCTGCAGTTTACAAAGCTTTATTGTACTTTGTTTTAAAGATTGTTTTAGCTTTAAGAGAAAAAGAACCACAGTTGACTTCAGCAATAGCAATCAATCACAGTCATTCTGGTCTCTCTGTATGTATAAACTCAATACTGATGGATAGAAATTGTCAATATCACTGGATTTAGGTGTTTAGGTTTCAACATGAATATTTACTGTTTTTACCGATGGCACTGATACTGTTAGAAATATCATACTGTAGCTTCCACATTACAGAATGAAAAGAGTTGAACCTGCCAGGACTGAGAGCTGAGACCAGTCAAGCTGATAAAATACTTTTTTCCGTTCTTAAAAATCCTAATTTAATATTTTTTTCTGTTGTGTAAAATATTGTGAATTACAATTAAAAATGACGAGTATCCATCTCTCTCAAGTGACTCCATATTTTCTGAGAACATTATTCCCAGTGTGAATCTTTATTACATAACATTAGTGAACAAGCGAATGTTTTCCCAGTGAAAAGCGAAAGTCGAAACACCACATGAACACAGGCATTTCAAATGCAAATACTCAGAAAAGTTAAGAAATCTCTCTCTGAGAAATCTGTCTTTGGAGAGAAACAAAGAATACAACGCATTATTGCAGAGAATTTCTTTTTTAACCATTTTAAGTAAAAGCCCCCCAAAAACACTGAAAGAGCAGATAAAACATGCACCCACAAAGAAGCCACAACAAGAAGAGCAATGAAAAGAAGTCAATGCACTAAGAATCCACAAACAAAACGGAGGAACATTAAAAGTTGCCATAAACCTTTACAAAGGAAAACAAATGCACTGGCAGTTTGTCCTTTGAAAACATCTGTTTGGAAGGTTTTAGTGTTATTTTTGCATGCAACAACATAAGAGCCAGAACAAAAGGAAAGAAACATATGAACCGAAAAGCAGAAGGGATAAACCAGCGGTCAAATCTGCACTAATAAATCACTTTGATCTCAAGTACTAATCCAAAAATTAACATTCTGTCATTATTTCCTCATCCTCATCCAAACCTGTATAACTTTCTTCTGTGCATCACAAAAGAAGAGATATTGAAGATGTTTACAGTGATTTTTCTCCACAATTAAAATCAATGGGGTCCAAAACAACACTAGTCCCCTGTTGACATTGCATGGACAAAAAATATTGTGTTTCCAAGAAGAAAGTAAGTCAGACAGGTTTGGAGCGACATGAGGGCGAGTAAATAATAATTACTGTATGAACTGTCTTTTTAATGGAGAAATACATGAAAGTATAAATATGTACCAACAGCAAACCAGTGGTTAAGGAATCCACTAGATGTTTTAAAGATTTAATATGTATTTACGGCATGAAACTAAACATTTTGGCACAGGTTTTCAAATTTATCTCCATGTACACCTTGGCAAGATACCATTAACATGTGATTTGAACCGTTACATTCAAGAAAAGTGCTTGGGTACAAAACCCAATCCAATAAATCAATAAGTATAGGTGTGTGTCAAATGTAATATTTATGTAGTTTAACATCAAGAAAACATCTTGATGACTCAACTGGACACAAAGCCACAAAACAGGCACAGAACTTCGGTTTTTAACAGCATTTTTAAGTATCTCCCACCCAAAAAAATTTTTTTTTTTCCTTCTTGTTTGACTGCACAATGATTCACAAGAGACATGGCCGAGACAAAAACATCAATAATAGTAAAAAGCATCCAATCAAAAAAAGAAGGGAAAAAAAACAGGCAAACAAATGCATCTGTACATAAGCATCTCTCAACAAACGTGAGAAAGAGATCTCCCCACTAAAACCTGAACTGATCTCGGTCATGGTGGGCAGGTGGCTTAAAAGATACCGCCCAAGGCTGCTGGGGCTTTAAAACCTCCATTCCCTCCCCTCTTCCTCCGACCACCTGCTCACAGACAGGTTTAACCACTCTTCCAGTCGTGGAGAATCTCAGCCAGGGTAGTGCCCCGCAGCCTCTTGCGTTCCCACACCGCTTCTACTTATCTCCTCCAGCCTCCTGCTCCTTAGCAAGGCCTCGGATTGAGAGATCGTACACCACCTCCTCGATCTTCTTCACATCGTACTTGAGGCCGTCGTAGCGCTTGCGAAGAGGGTCGTTTTTTAAGTTGAGCAACCGAAAGCCAGAGTCAAGTTCGTTGATAAAGTTTGAGATCCTAAGCGGACGTCCATAGTCTCCTGCGGTCACGCTGTTCACTGCCAGCCTCGACTAAATGGAAAAAAATGCAACAGGTACATTGTGCTTTTAATTTCATTCGCATTCTTTCCGCTCTTGCCAAAGTTTATTTCACATCAAGAAGGCAAAATCCACAATAATGCCTCAAAATATCATAAATGCACATCTTAAATAATCTAGCGGCTCGTTGTAACAATCTCAATGATATGCCAACACAACGGGTAGGGACTGTTCACAAAGAACACATTTTTGCATTTTACAATTTTTTTTTTTTTAATGTAAAAAAAACGTTTGACAATGCTTGTTTGACAATTCTGATTACGTCTTTTGTGACATTCTAAAAACATGGCGCTCAAGTTAAAATAAGTTTGACCTCAAAACCTTACTTTTTTCCATTCTGCTGCTCACATCTCAAGTTGTTTTTAACACAACACCGCGTGTGAATGGCCCTTAATTCTGGTTGCCACTTGGCATAAATTTCTGCCTGTACCTGAAAAAAGTTCGTTCACCAGTGTCTTTTAGATTCTGAAAAAAATTAGACACCCAGTCTGCATTAAATGCAGATCAACGGTAGGTTCTTTTGGATAACTTTGTACAATTATAATTACAAACTCGCTCACTATGACTCCTTACACTTGTATGAGTGTGATTTATTGCCCAAAAAAGCGAAAAGAAAAAATATAGTTAAAGATGAATACAACTGAAAGCGTTATTTTTCCCCCAAAAAATTTCCGTTTGTAGATGTTGCAGTAATATTGTTAACGTGAATTCCTTTGGACACTATAACTGCATAGTGAATGTCTAATATTGTGACCGGTACTTTGTATATAACAATGTACTGTATATCATGAACGAATGGTGAACTATCAACGCATCATATTGTGTGACGCCCACACCCTCACCCATGGATGCTGTAGCTCATTACAACAAAAACCATCAACCCAATGAGTTGTCCCATGGGTACATACATTTGCATATGACTGCCTCTGGAGCAATACATCGACAAATAGTTACTTATACCAAAGTCCCTTTAAGACAAGTCAATTCACTCGGCAGCCATATTTGAAACACCTCTCTGCAGCTATTTTAGTCATACAAGTACAGCACCTATCTCTTTGAATGGGGTTCAAAGACATCGTTTCTTATGCTCAAATAGAATAAAAAAAGCTTGTTTTTCAGATTAGACCAGCCAACACATACGTGCAGTTCTAAGTGTGCATCTTAGAACAATTACTGTTTCTACAGCAACCTGAGATTCTAACGGCAGCTGCAGTGACGCAATGATTTTATCAACTGGCGAATGGCTCTTTTACTGAGAAGGCGGGACTATTCCGCCATACTGTGTGTTGCACTTTCTCCCATTCGTAAATAATAGGAGTGCACCGTCTTTGTATATCAAAAATCTTTGGAAATACATTGTCGCACCACAGGCCCCGCCCATTAGCAGTCATTCGCTTAATGGTTGACATTTGTCTACACCGAATGAGAGTGTTTAGTTGTGTCAAAAGCAAACGGATCCCATTATAATCATTGACCCTTTCTACACTGGACACAGTATAAAGAAACTTCCATTTCTGATGTACTCAACACATTTGAGTCTGCTGACAACAGGACAAATGGAAGAGTAAAGAATATTCATTGTGATGTATTTGTGTCTCTGTACAGCCTTCAGAAGGATCCCAGCGTCAGAAACAAGTGGATGGTTTCATTTTAATGACACCGACTTACATGCAATAGTGAGGGGACGGTGATATTGTTTCCTATGCAATGACGTTAGCCAATCAAAACAGTGGCTGTTTACTGAGAAGCCTTAAAGGACGCGCCCCTTAAAAATAGTTTTTTTATTTTATTAAAAAATCCATGTCTTGATCCCTTTAATGTTAAGTTAATGTAAGCATATATGTTTAAATATAGTAGCAGGAACATTAATACTACTAAAGATGATAAGATTGATAGTTTGAATGAATTAGAGAGGAAAAACACTTACCAGCTCACTGGCCAAAATAAGAACTCCTGCAAGATAGTCTTCCACATCCAAATGAAACCCTTTTTCTCTGTCGACTTCAACTGTGTAAGTGTAAATTAGAATTAATCTACAGAAGTCTCACAAGTATTCAAGATATACAATAGAAATAAACATGAACATTACATACTGGCAAGTATTTTTGCCACTTCCTCGCGTGTAACCAAGGACTCGCTTTCCAGGTATACCACAAAAGCCGCAAGGAAGGCAAGTCGTTGAAGAACAAATCTCCAGTGTTCATGATACCTATGGAAAGATGAGGATGTGCCATTTTTTATTATAATTATCAAGACTAGAACAGAAGCATGATCTATTCAATCATTGAGGGAAAAAAATAGTTTAAGAGGCATCTACACTAACCGATAGTACTGTTCCACAGGGAACTTAGTTTTCAGCTCTCCAGTGTGGTTTCTTACAGTGCAGAACAGCTCTCTAGCCTTCAAACACTTGCTGGGAACTGGAGGAGGGAGTGAACATGTATTAGAAAAGACATTATGTAGACAAAAAGATCAAGTATTTTAACTTACTGTCTTTGAAACCACTTGGTTGATGGACACTTTGAAGAACAGTGAGGATCTCTCTTGCTGTCTGCTCCAGAACTTGGACAACTTTTCTTATGTCCTACAGGAAGAGCATAGAAAGATGAGAGTCATCCGAGAGCACATAACGTTATATGGATAAAAAAACAGCAAAATTCAAAAAGAGATTAGCAGATCTTTCTGTCTAGACTTTGACATCCGTTGCACATTATTTTATCTAATTCACAAGTCACAAATAGTATTACTGTGAATATTACTGATAAAGCAATATTTTATGAAGAGGTTCTGCGACAAGTGCATAACAATCCAAAAGGACTTTACGTTGCTTCTTCTTCTTTCTTTCTTTTTCTCCAAGGAAATCTTTTTTTACGTGTCAGTGCAGTTGTGTACCTCTCGAATATCTTGATCAGCACTCAAAAATCCTTGGATGTAGCTAAACATCTCCGTTACAGACATCTTCAAATGTGCTGGCTGGTGCGTCGCTCTTTACTGTGACCAGCTGCTCCAAAAATATACACTATTTTGATAGTGTATGGATGTAAACAGAGACTGTTTATTAATCGTCGTGCTCGCGAACCAAACAGCCTGTAGTTATAATTGGAGTCATCAGCATGCACGTTAACATCTGCCCTTCCTCAGTTCGTCGCATTATAATGATGTAATGATCGTCTCTCTTCACGCATGTTGCTGGTAATCCAGACGCCCTCTACTGTTTTTGCTCAAATTCAACTCAGTTTTTTTTATTCAGTGGAATTTCTCAAAATCATTAAGCTTTTAACTCGTTAAGAAAAAGAAGAAGAAGAAGAGCTCTGTTAAATATATTTTGGTATTGGAACCAGGTTTTGACAAGAATATCTAAATAAAAATCTAGAGTTTTTTTTTTTTTACAATGTTATTTTATATAAAGCCTATCTGTTCTATCTGTGATGTTTATAAATGTCTTATATTTCATTATTTTCTCACACAACTTTCGAGGTGTTAATGATGATATATGCTAATGATATAATGATTATTATCATTAATATGATTGATGAGGTGTTGTGTTGTGAGGGGCCCACCCCCTTGGTTGTGTGACTGGGGCCCACAATTTGGTGCTACACCCCTGCATAGACTAGAGATAAAAGAAATGCTAATTTTTACTTCAAGATAAATCACTAATAAATGATAGTAGTTACTCAGAACTGTCAGCAGCAATGCAACCAAAATCACAAGAATAGACAATGGTCATAATTGAAAAAAGACTTTGGAAGGATCTTATTTATTCATTCATTTTACAAATGCAGGCCTAATGAGTTGCACAACTGCTTTTATAATAACAAACTAATTTATAAAGAACATGTACAGACTTAGGACAATTTTTTTGCTATTTTATTCCTCGTTTTTATGCATTGCATTTGTCTTTTTAAACAGATCAACTGTCTTCTAGACTAGACACGTCTGGTCGCATATTTATTATACATGTTCGTAGAAATACTATCTCTAGTATCACTCCACTATGTTGTCAGTGAGAGTGTGGCTGTATCTCAAAACCTAGGAGAGAGAGCAAGCGCAAATCCTGGCAGCGGCAGGTCGCAGCGCCACTTCCGGTGGCATCCCCAGCTGCCACTAGTCGTTTCTGGCAGCTGCCACGATCTTTCTCGCCGTTTCTGCTGTTTGCTCGGTAAAACTACACTGTACTCAGTGGCGTCTCCTTAAGAGTGTATGTAAAGTCTAAGATGTCTCGGTGTGTCTAAACCCTAAATATGTATATGTTTTATTTGTTTTTTTATTTATTTATTTAATTATTTTTTTTTATTTTTTTGAAGGGGGGGGGGTCAATTGTTAAATGTCATTTTCATATCATACTGTCATATCGCTGACTGTCATTGTTAAGTGTTACATTAGGTCAGATCTGTTACTGTCAATCATTTAAATGAAGTTCGGGTTGTTTTAGTGTGTAAAAAAAAAAGCAACAAAAAACACTGCAGGCCACTGAGAAAAGTGTAGTTTTACCGACCAGACAGCAGAAACGGCGAGAAAGACGGTGGCAGCTGCCACGAACTCTGGCAGCTGCCTTTGACTCCTGGCAAGAACTATGGCAACTGATACAAAATGTATAATAATAATAATAATAATACAATTGTGAGAACTTTGCATCATCATTTAAAAAAAAACATCCCCGCACGCCACTGAGTACAGTGTAGTTTTACCGAGCAAACAGCAGAAACGGCGAGAAAGACCGTGGCAGCTTCCACGAACTCTGGCAGCTGCCAGGAACGACTAGTGGCAGCTGCCTTTGACTCCTGGCAAGAACTATGGCAACTGATACAAAATGTATAATAATAATAATACAAATGTGAGAACTTTGCATCATCATTTAAAAAAAAACATCACGGCACGCCACTGAGAACATAGTTTTACCGAGCAAACAGCAGAAACGGCGAGAAAGACCGTGGCAGCTGCCGCGGCATCTGGGGATGCCACCGGAAGTGGCGCTGCGACCTGCCGCTGCCAGAGAGAGCGCCAGTCCCTGCTGAAACCTAGTGAGCCGCCTATCTAGACCGCATTTCCTACGTCCCAAACATGCCGAACATTCCAAGCGCTTTTTAAGTGTCTTGCTATGCTGCCTAGGTAGAGGCTGCGCAATAGATTTAGCGGCAGGCCGCGCGAGTGACTTCCGGTGAGTGTTGCGTGGCTGTAAAGAAGCTCTGATTGAGTTCAGCTTTTGCGGCACCGAACAGACGCTCGTCTCACTGCCGCAGAACCAAATGAACGAACGCCCTCATTTCCCTTACCTCCAGACATGACAGCACTGAAATGATGCAGTATTTAGACATCCCATCCTCACAAAACATGGACGCCATTAAGAGGAGAATATTAAAGGAGTGAATAATTGTTACCGACAGCACTATTTTACACTGAACTGGATCGTTAGATTAGCTGGCTAGCAGATAGATTTTCAGTCTCTGCTGGGTGGTGTTGCCCGAGGCCGGACCCCAGCGATGGGAATCATTTTCACAAAATTATGGAGGCTTTTTAACCACCAAGGTACGTAAAATAGTGTATTTATAATCATAATTCGATCACATTCTGTTTAAATATAGACTGGCTATGTTTTTTTACTAACTAGCAAGTGTCTGTTGCTAACCTGCTGCTATAGTTTCGTTTTAAAACAGCGATGCTGGTGCTTATATACGACTAAAATATTTATAAGCATGTTGTAAATACAAAAATATTCTGAGAACGTATGTCATTACATTAAAACAGTCGATAAGGCTTCAATAAACCTGCCTAAGGTGGTTCAGGACTGGCTGTTGACAGGTAACGTTACTGTGCTGTCAGGTTCAGGCTCTGTTTATGGAGGTTGGAGCCCTGATATCTTAATTTTTTACTTGCTAAAAGATAATTGTTGTGTAACATGTCAAACTCAGTGACGCGCTTATGTAATTTTCATATAAGAATAAATGTGGTTGAACATATTTATTGGCATTTTACCGTTATATTGGAGTATTGTTATGTTCCCCTATGCAGTGACATGTTTGGTTTTATGTATTTCGTCTGGAAATACATAAAACTTACCAACTGAGGTAATATCAATATAAAGTGAATGTGAAAGTCAGTTGTCAGCACTGAGAATAGATTAACCTGCTTATTCACCAACCTATGAATCAAAAAGTGAAACACCCATTGCAACACTCTTTGCTTTTTTAAGCCTGATCATTTGTGCCTCTTTCCTCTGTGATTTAGCAGCGATGGTCAGCCTGTTTCTGTGACGGTGGTGTAATCCTCACCTTGTTACTTGTTACACACGTCCATGGGATAGTCAGTGGTCTCTCATTTATTATACATGGTGTGGGATATCCATAAAGCATAATCTTGTTTGAAAGATTTGCACATCAGTGTATGGGATATTGAGCATGTGCAAATTGTAACATAACCCAGTGGAACGTTTCTCTTCAGTTCTCACCTTACTCATTAGCTGAACAGATCATTGTGATATGGGTGAGCCTTGTAACGTGAGAGTTGGAGACTGTTGCCTACACAGATGCAGCACCATCATTAGTCTGTTTTATTTCTTTTTTGTTTAGATGAAGTAGCCTATAGTAACCCAGGTGAAAAAAAGTGCACTTCCTTAATGTTCTTAAAGTGCTCTGTTTTTGCGCACTAATTTTGTACTTAATATACTAAAAATGATTCTTTAGTACTTCTTAAGACAAAGTTAAGATCATCTAAGTGTACTCAACTGTGCTATTTTGGGACACCATGAATATGAACTAAAATGCACTTTTAACATACTATCTCTGTGTTTAAAAAATTTTTTTACTCACCACTTGTAGTACACTTGAGTGTACTAGTGTATGAAAGATGGTTCAAGTGTACCACAAGTGGTAACTAAATATATTTTTTAAAATACAGAGCTAGTGTGTTAAAAGTGCATTTTAGTTCATATTCATGGTGTCCCAAAATAGCACAGTTGAGTAAACTTAGATGATCTTAAGTTTGTCTTAAGAAGTACTAAAGAATCATTTTTAGTATATTAAGTACAAAATTAGTGCGCGAAAATAGAGCACTTTAAGTACATTATGGAAGTGCTCTTTTTTTCACCTGGGGAGTCATTAAAGGTGACTTATTATTGTTCAAAAGTTTGGGGTTAGTAAGATTTTTAATGTTTTCGAAAGAAGTCTCTTATGCTCAACAAGGCTGCATTTATTTGATCAAAAATACAGTAAATATTGTGAAATATTATTACAATATAAAAGAATGGTTCTCTATTTTAATATTTTAAAATGTAATTTATTTTATTGATGGCAAAGCATCATTACTCACACATGATCCTTCAGAGATCATTCTAATATGTGTATGCTGATTTACTGCTCAAGAATCATTTGTCATTATTACATTGAAAACAGTTTTGCTGCTTAATATTTTTTGTGGAAAATGGTGCTACTTTTTTTTCAAGATTCTTGAATAGAAAGTTCAAAAGAACAGCATTTATTTGAAATAGATATTTATTGTAACATTATAAATCTCTTTACGGTCACTTTTGATCAATTTGAAGTATCCTTGCTAAATAAAGGTAAGGTATTGATTTTTTTTTTTTTTTTTTTTTTTTTTCAAAAAATAAAGTTGTACTGGCCCCAAACATCTAAAGTAAATCTTTTCATGCCTAAAACACACATCCGTGTTTTGTTGTCCATGTTTTGCATCACACTTCAGAATTGCCTCACACAACTGCTTAAATTCTTTCAAAACATTTCATGCAATAGACAGAAGTGATATAATCAGAGCCTGTGAATGGGTAGATTCTAAGCCCTTCATGCACACTTTGTACCCCTTTGATTTTTCTTTGTTTATTCCTCAGTTTCATGTCTGTTCTTGTTCAGGTTAGTATGAAACTTTCCAGGAACTAACTTTGAGAATGTGAGTGTAAGGTTTCTTGAAATGTTTCTCGGTCTTGACTCTTTAGGGTAGTTGTTATAGTTGACACTGCAAATGAAATCCCGCACTGTGATGAACCGGCTAGTCTTTTTGTTTTAGTTGTCAGCTTTGTGCATTACTGTTGTATATTTATGTAGTGTTAATGCCTTGCAAATGAAAAATTTTTCTGTGAACAAATAATCGAACTGATGTCACAGACTAAAGTTGCCTGGCTGGTTACATAGATTATGATTTGTTGAAATTGCACAAATGACTTGTCATAGTCTTGGGAACTAGAATAGTCGTATTTCACAGTTTTCAAAAAAAAGGAGAGTTAAAGCTTATATTCAAGTTGTATAATTTACAGATATCATTACCTTTTCTTTTTTTTGAGACCTTGTCATGCTCAGCTAGAAAGAGAAACCCGGAACCGTGTAACTCCAGCCACCTTTTTAAATCTAAATGTCAACACAGTTTTATATTTCAATGTGTTACACCTCGTGTGTGCCATTTAGCCATGATCTTTTCTGCTATAAACAAAAGGACTAGGTTTTAAGCTATTTTGTATGTTCTTGTGAATACAAGAAATGAGAAAGCAAAACATTTCATTGAAGTACTAAAGCTCATAAATTACAATACACCCTAACCTTTGGACCTTCTTTGGCATATGAATGCTTAGCTGACATGATTATTATATCAGCCTTAAATTCTGAGTGTCATCAGTTTCACAGTGTCTTGGTAAAAGCATCTCTTTGGAATGCTTTTATTTGAGCTTTTCCTCTTTTGTTTGTTAATTTCAAATTAAATGGCCCAGTCTAACAAGAGCAAGACTGAGGTCTTATCTACAGAATGATCTTTTGAGAGCGCTCTCTCTCTCTCTTTTTTTCAGACTAAACAAGTTTCTGTGTCCCCAAAAAGGACAGCAGTCTATCTAATGTGCATACTCGTGCATGACTCATTTTGTAACACATCTGAATGGGTGTGTCTGAATATCCTTGAATACCTAATGCAGGTCTGTAGTAGTGACGTGGAGTGCAGTGGTTTCTTCTGTTGTATGTCTATTCATGGGGTTAACTCAGATAAGAGTTAGTCTTTCCTCTTTAGTTTCTTTCTCTTTATTCTCCAATTCATATTGTCTGTCAATCATCTTCAGGTTCAGGGTGTCTTGTAATTTATGACCTCTAATGAGAATTCTGATTATTTGAAAACGGGTTCATTCTGTTGTTCTCAGACAATTGCGGTTTGATCATACTGAAATAATCATATTCGGGTATCATGTCTAACAAGTTTATCAGTTTCAGCAGATATGAATCGCAGCAAGTCTTCAAATGTTTCCTCACATCCTGTCTGTGGATGCTGATTTCATTTCCCTTTTCTATTTAATGGTTTTATCAAAATTATAATTGCGTGAGAGACATGTTTAATTTCCAGCCAAATGAGTTTTCACAATCACTTTTGCTATATGAAGAAGAAACCCCCTCAAAAAGGTGACTGATATGTGTATTATTATATAAAATATATAAAAGTTTCCTCTGTTGGGCCTGTTTTGTGGACAGTGGGGCAGAAAAAAGTGCTGGCTATTTTGCATGAGGCAGTCAGTTAAATTAGATTAAGATATTTTGCATTAGCTCTACATATGCTTTTTGCCATTGTCATGCTTGATAAACTGCAGTATGCAAAGTTCTGTTGCAAGTGCAACTAAGCATTGTTTTCTCTTGTGGAAACTATTCAGCCACCTTTACACACACTCAAAGGTGTTACCACGTCACCTAGTCTGTCATGCCTTTGACGCTTTTGCAGGTGCAAACAACCCTATCCGGAGTCATTTAGAATTTGAGGTTGGTTAATTGTTTTCTAGTGTGGTTAATGGTGCTGCACAGCATAATAATCATAGTAATATTAAAATTTAGAATCTTTACTAAAATGCTGGGCAGGGGTCCATTTTAAATTTCTGTGGTGTTTTATACATTTTATGGCAAATTCACAACTTTTTAAAATCAGATACTAAGTTGAATGTATAAAGTGCACTGTATTATCTCATACACAACTGTTTGTGGTTAATATAGGTATTAAACAGTGCCTTTAAGGGCAGGAGCTGGGCTGGCTCTTTTGGTCTCCAGCCTAAAACATGTTTGAGACATGCAGCATATTTTACTCTTTGGGTTTGGCCATTATTCAGTTCTTTAGATTTGCTCAGTTCCTTTCTGTTGTGAGAAGACTTGGACACCACCCATTATACTTTGAGTTACTGTATAGGATGACACATTGCTCAATAACACAGTCAAATACTGGTTTTACACATGATTGTGTATTAAATATTCTAGCTAAAGATGAATGGCTGCAATGCTGGGTATGATCTAAAGTGTTTACTAAAACATTTAGCCTAACTGTCTTCCTGTTTTTCCCCCAGAGCACAAAGTCATTATTGTTGGGCTGGACAATGCAGGAAAGACCACCATACTTTATCAGTTGTAAGTACTATTGCACTAGTTATAATCTAGTTAGAAATCTAGTAGTCCATTCTTGATTTAAACAGTTATAATTTAAAAGTTTGGGGTCAGTAAAAATAATGAATAATAACTGATAAATAACAGTTTTTTTATTTATATATTTTAAAACATAATTTATACCTGTGATGATACAGCTGAATTTTCAGCTGCCAGTACTCCAGTCTTCAGTGTCACATGATCTTTCAGAAATCATTCTAATATGCTGATGTTGAAAACAGTTGTGTTGCTTAATATTTCTGTGTAAACTATGATATTTTTTTAGTTTTTAAAATTAATGACACCAACCATATACACAAGTTTATGCAATGGTGTGATTACATCATGCAAATTACAGCCTCATTTTGTAGTGTTTTTGTATTTGTGGTATTGTCCTATTTGTTGTTCTTTTTGTGCTCATGTCATTTTTGTAATCTCCAGCTCTATGAATGAGTTGTAAAATGATCTTGAATTATAAAGAGTACGTCTCATTAATGTGTTTCTCCTGTGCAGTTTGTGATCGTGGTCGTGGACAGCACAGACAGAGAGAGAATCTCAGTGACCAGAGAGGAGCTCTACAGGATGTTAGCCCATGAGGCGAGTATATGTATGTCACTATGAGAACTGGTGTTCATGCACATATATTTGCTGAAGGGATTATTCTGAGACTGTCTGGTTTTCTCTTCTGTTCCATCATCACACTGCTTGATTTCAATTCCTCTTTTCTCTTTATTAGGATCTGAAAAAAGCTGGTTTGTTGATTTTCGCCAACAAGCAAGATGTGAAGGGTTGTATGACTGTTGCTGAGATTTCCCAGAGTCTTCAGCTTACCTCTGTCAAAGACCATCAGTGGCACATCCAGGCCTGCTGTGCTCTCACTGGAGAAGGGTAAAGCCACAAAAACCTACAGAGCCACACAAAAAACATGTAATACAAAGATCCAGTTGAATAATTTTTTTCCATCAGTAGAGATGTAATGAGTCACAGATTGTGTAACAGTCTACTGTTCTAGTCATTTTGGCTGAATATAGAACTAGCATCGATGGAAGTGATGAATCCGTATTAGATGTCTAAAAGTTGCTTAGACGGCAATTGCCATCAGACAAATGCAGATATGTCCTTGTGTTTCTATGCTTGTTTTTATTAATAAACCAGAATTTTCCATCTTTGATGCCTTTAAACAGACAACTATGGAAATATGCCTATTTTCACCACATAAGGAAAAAAAATCACACTTTGTAAATCATAATTATGACGTAAAAAGTTGAGATTGACACAAAACGATTTAAAGGGTTAGTTCACCCAAAAATTAAATTAGCCCATGTTTTACTCGCCCTCAAAGCATCCTAGGTGTATATGACTTTCTTCTTTCAGATGAATCCAATCAAAGTTATATTAAAATGTATCCTTGCTCTTCCAAGCGTTAGAATGGCAGTAGGTGGGTGTTTTTGTTCAACAGTCCAAAAGTAGTCAAATGAAGCGCATCCATCCATATTAAAATGTGTCTCACACGGCTCCAGGGGGTGAATAAAGGCCTCCTGTAGCAAATCAATGTGTTTTTGTAAGAAAAATATCCATATTTAAAACGTTATAAACACTTTTCTCTCACTTGCGCTGTCGTACGAGCAAGCCGTTCCGGCGGATGACGTAGAATGTATGCGCAGTGCATGCGCCGGTGATTAGTGACGAAGGCGGAAGCATGGAGGAGAGACGAAACAAAACGCCGGTCATGAATTAGAAGCACAAAACGAGGATTTGTAAAGAAAAATGTCGGAGGATTTCGATATAAGCCAAGAGGAGACTGGTTTTCCTTTGCTAAAGTAAGGAAACTTTGCTTCCTTTGCTCCTGTAAACAAACTCACGAGACTAGCATATCTCAGAGGCGCGCACAACGCATACGTCCTACGTCATCCGCTCGGAACGGCTTGCTCGTATGACAGTTAGCGGAAGTGAGAGAAAAGTGTTTATAATGTTTTAAATATTGATATTTTTCTTATAAAAACGCATTGATTCGCTACAGGAGGCCTTTATTCACCCCCCGGAGCAGTGTGAGGCACATTTTATTATGGATGGATGCTCTTTATTTGACTATTTTTGGACTGTTGAACAAAAACACCTGCCTACTCCCATTCTAAAGCTTGAAGGAGCAAGGATAATTTTTAATATAACTCTGATTGGATTCATCTGAAAGAAGAAAGTCATATACACCTAGAATGCCTTGAGGGTGAGTAAAACATGGGCTAATTTTCATTTTTGGGTGAACTAACCCTTTAAATAAAGATTAAAAAAATATTGTCATTGACTTTTTTTCTCATATTTTTGACTGTCATAATTTTGACTTTTTATCTCAAAAAATACTTTTTGGTCATAATTATTGCTTTTTTTAAAAATATTTATTTTTGGCATTTTGGCCTTTGTTTTGATAGAACAGTTAAGTATTGACAGGAAGTGAAGTGGGAGAGAGATAAGGGGACAGGAAGGTCGCAAGCCGGGACTCGAACTCGGGACCCCTGAAGCGCAACTGCGCTATATGTCCACGAGGCTATTGGCGCAGAAATTGCTTTTTATCTTGTAATTTATACTTTTTTTCATATTGACTTTTTGGTAATATTATGACAAAAGTCAAAATTATGAAAGCAAAAAATATCTGAGGAATTGACTTTGTCATTATTATGGCAAAAAGTTGAAATTGAGAGATGTCGTAATTATGGCAGTCAAAATTATTACAAAAAGTTCAAATGAGATAAAGCGTGATTGACAAAAAAAGGTTGAAATTGGTGTAAAAAAAAATTTTTTTAAATAAAAGTACAAAATTATGACAAAAAGTGGAAATTGTTAAAAAGTGCAACTTAGCATGTCATAAATTTGACTTTTTATCTCATAATTTTGACTTCTGTGTTATGACTGATTTACCAAAGCATGACTTTTTATGGTGGAAATGAGCTTCCATGAACAACCCTGGCCAAATTTCACAAAACGTATCAAAGCAAATTCAAATGACCTTTTTCTAACTCCATTCTGACTGCTTTGTGGATGCATACAGATACCATAATGCACAGAAAATAATGTTTAAATACGTTTTAAGCCATAATGTGATCCAGAAAGTCAGTGGATTTCGTAACGGAAAGTGTGGTTGGTCATTAATGTTTGCTGCACCTCATTTTATGGCCAGGGTCATTAGTTCAGAGGCTTTTCTCTGACTGACAGGCAGAAAGCACAAATGTCTTTCTTTGTCCGATTTACAGAAAGAAAAAGGAGCATTGTTAACTGGCCGAGCTGAATGTCTCTTTCCTGTCCGCAGGCTCTGCCAGGGTCTAGAATGGATGATGTCACGGCTGCGAGTAAGATGACCTCTGACCTCAGATAGCAGTGTGCTCTATCTTTCCCACCGGACGTGGAGGCCGGGTGTCACTCACTGTGAAGGTGACCCAGCGACGTCAAACGAACTTGTTTGATTAATTTATTACAGATTATTGAGACCTGTGAACAAACAATCTGCAACTAACTAACAAAAAAATTCAGGACTTGCGAGACAGCATAAACTCAGTGTTTTTCTGCGTGAATGGCCTTTAAATGAGTAACGGGGTTTGCACAGACCATGGACTGAGAGGACTCGTCTCTAGCTGAGCAGAACCCTACCTGGAGTGGCCTCGCTGCTTTGCCCAGCTACCTGACATGGTGTTGCCCAGTGTGTACAGTCCAGTATTTTCATTAACCTTGTGCCTGCACCTGACTCTCTGTCTCCTCTGGAATGAGGAGACACATTACCATGCAAGAGGAGACTGCACTCATGTAAAATACAACTAAATAAAGTGTTTTTAGCTGTCATGACAGATGTTTCACACTTTAATTCTCTACAGATTTTTCCCGATGGAGCTTTAAGCAAAATTGACAATGTTGAGCTTGGTTATTTGTCTCAGTTCTTTTGCTACCTCTAGGGGGCGACACATGGTTTGAAAGGGAACTTCTCATGTTAATTGTTAAAAAGGAATTTAATTGAATTGTTTAACTTGGAAGAAAAAAGTTATACGTTTAAGAACGATATTAGCTTAATCTTGGCAGAACTTTTATACTAAAATTATAGTATTTCTTCAATACATACCACAGACCAAACATATAATATTATCACAGAATTTGGACTTCAGAGCTGGTTAATTTTGTAATTATTTCATTTTAATAAGAACAGAACATTTTAATACATTTACATACACTCTTAAAAACAAGGTTACAAAGAAACATGTTTTCACAGCAATACTGAAATGCAGAAGAACCATTTTTGGTTCCCGAAGTAAACAATTCTTAAAGAACCTTTTTTTGATGTGAAGAATATTTATAAAAGCTAAAGAACCTTTTTCCACTATAAAGAAGCTTTTGGTCAAAGGAAAGGATCTATGGATGTTAAATGTTCTTCATTGAACCTTCAATGCCAATAAAATACCTTTATTTTTAAGAGTCATATAGGACCTACAATAATGTTTTTTGAACATTAAAGCATGTCAACATATTCTGTTACACCAAATACACAAAATAATGATATTTTAAAAAAGCATCATATGACCCCTTTAAATGTAAAGAGAAAGTGTTGTTTTGCAATTATTATTTTAAAATATTTTTAATGTGGATAGATTATTTTTGTAGGCTAATTTAATTTGCTGTCACTGGTAACAAACACAATGCACTTTAAATCTGCATCTTAAAATCGAATTAAGGAATATGTAAAATGGCATCAATGCCAAATTATTATTATTATTTTTATTTATTTTTTAAGACCATTTTAGGGGAAAAATGTTTCTCTAACCTTGTTAAGTTTAACTTTAGTGCTAAGTTTTCTTTTTAACAGCCATTAATTGTTGTTGTTGAGCTGTTATGCTGGTCCTCTCCACATTGAAGAGTCCTTGACCCTCGACTGACTCTCTCCCAGAGATGATCTCATGTAGAACATCAGTGCCTAATAATGACATGTGAGACACCATTAACCATTATAGTTATTTTTTGTATCTATCTGAAGCAGGACAACACATTAAAGAGTCTGTTAAAACTCATAAACTCTTAGTGTACTTGTTATATAAAATTTCAAAAACACTGCGCAATGACATTTCCATTACTGTCACAGAATGCTATTCCTATACAAACTCGTCTACTTTCTGACATTTGATTTTGCAGATGATGTTCATGCAGACTTTTAATTATATTTTAAGTTTAATTTCACGAGTCATGGTAAAGGGGTTTTCTCTAGCACAGTATCTGCAGCTGTGTATCACAGTGTTTTGTTTTTCAGAGTGAGAGATGTGGTTTTATTTAAACGAGTCATAAGTTGTTTTAATACTCATCCTCAGCTGTTCAGACCCCCTTTATTACCTACTGTTTTTTTCCAATGACTAAGCTTCAAAGCCTCATGCCACTGTACTGAAGATTTGTGCATAAGCACAGTAGGACATGTTTTTACCTGTTCCTAGTATCGCTTTCCATCCTGTTAGTATGTACACTGTAAAAAGTGGTAACCTGTAATTGTTACCTTAAAGAACTATTAGTCAGACTTTAGTTTGGGGACCAATTCTCACTATTGACTAACTATTAACTACAACTTTTGCCTCAATAAAGTCCTAATTTGCTGCTTATTAATAGGGTAATAAGGTAGTTGTTACGATTAGGCATGTGGTATACGATTAAGGGATTTAAAAGACATTATAATCCCTTATAAGGCTTTATAAGTACTAATAAACAGCCAATATGCTATAATATGCAAGCAAATAGTTGATATGAGAAATGGTCCCTAAACTAAAGTGTTACCGAGCTATTTTTATCTGCTTTAAGTTTTGTTGGTATAAACAGATGTATTTCGTTTATTCAGTGGTGCTATTTATTTTTTTATAAAACCAGTTAATTTAGATGTTATCATTTTTGCAGTGTACTGAATAGTCCAATCTTTGATATTATCAAGATATGATCTCAACTAATATGAAGACTTTTCGATACTTCTCTCCATATATTTTCTTTTTTTGGTTTTATTATTAATGCTGGCTTGTCTCACCCATATGTATCTCAATTAGGCAAACTGCATCATTCATCATTTAAATTTCCATGTCTTAAAATATGTGACACAAGTTGAAAATATCAACCATTGACCTATAGAGCTACTTTAGACTTCAAATTTCCACCTTGTTTGCCCATTTTGATCTATTATTCATTTGCAAGCAAAGAATCTATAGAATTAACACAATAGCTGCTATTGGTGTTATTTTCTGTCACGGCGCGGTAAAGGAAACACACCGTGTAAACGGGTCTGGGCCCAAATGCAGGCTTTTATTAACTGCAGGGGAAAACAAAGTAAAAACCAAAACAGAAAACAAACAGAGCTAAGACTCTGACACACAGGCTTGAAACAGAAAACGGACTCTGACACAATACGGCCACGTAGAGCTTGCATCAGTCCCGTAACAACACTTAATAATCCGCCCAGAGAGGCGTGGGGAAGGAGTATAAATAGCCATCAGGATCAGCTGTGTGTGTGTGAGTAAGTGCACAGGTGTGTGGAGTTAAGGTAAAGGAGTCCGGGAGGATGGGAAATGGCGACCTCTGGTGGTGAGAGGGAGAAACACCAGACGCCAGACCCTGGCAATTTTCACCCTGTTAGTCTGTGACAGTGTTATTTTAGGTGTTCTTTTTATCATTGAGATACTATTATAGCTTCTGTTAGTTATTTTACCAAGTTTTTATTTCTTTATATTTTCTGTTTTCATTTTACTTTTAGTTAATTTTTTTGCAATTTTGTTGTGTTTTTGTCATAGTTTTTTTTAAATACATTAATATATTTTATTAATTTTGTTTTCGTTATTGTTTTTTTTTTACTTAAAATAAATGAAAATGAGAAATGTTGTCAACTACCTGAAATAAAATAATGTTTTTATATTTTATTTGATTTCAGTTAACATTTATTTTATTTCAAGTGACTTTTTATTTCTTTTTTACTTAACTATAATAACCCTGGCCTGTGAAACCCTTGGCATCTCTTAACACTGTTATGCCACATACATAAAATACATTGTGAAAATTCTGCAAATTTGTTAAAAATGTTTTTTAAATAATTAGAATAAATTACAAAAATTTATTTAAAAAAAATATATATATATAGTCCAAAGGTGAGCTTTTTTGTAAAATGCAATGTGTAAATATTTTTTAATGTGCTCTGCATATAAACAAGTACATTTGAACATTGATGTGATAAGTGTCAGTGCTAGGTATTGCAGAAATGAGCGTTGAGATATGATGAGGACAGTGGGCACACTGAGCTGACACACAGTCCCAGCTGCCTTTCATTCAGATCAGTCACGCCGCCCCACAATGGAGATCTGGAGAACTGCAGGACTTTTGAGCGGGAATGGCTGGAGGACGTCACTATAAAATTTATATATATCACGTGTCTGGAGGTGTACTGTTGCTGAGACGCAATGATATAATGGGCTAAGTAAATAGACTTATGGCCTCTGTGGCTGAACATCATTATACCCCCTTACTGCCACAGGATGCTTTAAAAATAGTGTCAGCTGTATTTTTGAGCGTCCCTGAATAGTTTTAATACTGTAACATGCTCATCAGAATTAGATTAGACACCAAAGAGCACAGAAGGGTGAGACAGCTGCTGTCTGTCTGCCGAAGCATTTAGAGATGTATTGCAGACATCTGTAGAGGCACTTGCTGAAAAGCTATTTTCCCCTTAGATAATCTAATTAAGTGTTACGAATTATAGGCTACAATGATTTTCAAGGGGGTAAAGGCCTTTAATTTTCGGGAGCAGCAAAAAGTACTTATGTATATAACAGAGTATTTATGTTGCTTTATCATATTCTCTCAAACTGATCCTAATGGAAATTGCGAGAGAGCAGATTACTGTTGCTATGGTTACCAATTTGGGTTCACTGTTGGCGCTTATTTTCTGTAATTTACATTCGTTTTCTTACTAGGGGCGTTTGTAGCCTTTCATCAGTCTTTCAAAATGTCTCCCCATATTTTAATACTATTATGGATATATACCATCATAAATTGTCTTTCCCTGCAGCAGAGAGTCAGAAACTGCATGCGCAATGAAGAGCTGTTTCATCGCTGACAAACGATAAGTGACTTTTGCAATTTTTGTTACCTGCAATGGCTTGTTTGGAAATATTCACCTTACCCAGCTCTTTTTGTTTTCTATCTAATAAATTTTCCCTAACAATGTAAAAATCCGCTGCAAACTATTCAGTACGTGTGAGTCAAACTGATTCGTGAACTAATTCAGACCTCAGTCAAAAGAGTGATTCATTCGCGAATCTGGCATTCCGAACAGTTAATAAAAATACACATTACATAATTATTGAAATATTGTCAAGGAAAACGATTATATGGTCTGTCATCAGACAAGGATTTTGGAGTAATATTTGGGGCTTGTGCTCTAACTAATTTGTAATCAAACTTTAAACCTTACTGACATGTTTAAAACCCATATTGAAACGTATATTTACTTAAAGAATAAAAATGAAATACTTTTACCAGACTTAAACCCTTAAGTAGGGTGGTCAGACCCCCTATAATTCCCTCTCTGGTATTAACAAAAACAAAACAAGTCAACTGCGAGAAATTGTATGAGAATGCTTTACCAAATAGAATGTATTAAAGACATGTCTGGTCAAAAATACAGTCAAAGGACATTTAGGCAAATCCAGAAGAAAATATAAAGGGAATATGTGAAGATTTATATTGTACTGAGCTATGTAATGCATGTATGATGGAATGTGCACATGCATTTAGTATAGTGCCTATAGATAGAATATTGACTGAGAATCAGATCATTCTTATTGTCAGTCACTCTAGATGTTTGTAATTGGGTTAACAAGTCAACAGTTTATTTCCCTCTTGCCCCCAGCCCTGACCTGATTTCACCCCCAGAGAGTAAAATTCCTGAGGCCCAGATCAGGCCCACACCTGACACTTTCATCTGGCCCACATACCGCGTGGAATGATGGCACTTGGGCGGTCCGCTCCTGTTTGCCAGATTTGGGCCACGAGCAAGCCAAAAGAAGGCCCAATGTCAGCCGTGAATAAACCAAATAAAGCAGAACTGGCCCAAATCTGGGCCATTTAATTCTGGCCCAGATCCAACACCTTACTCCGGCCCACATACTGTGAAGAACTTGGGCGGTCAGCTCCTGTTTGTTAAATTTGGGCCACAAGCAAGCCATAGGTAGGCCGCATGTCAGCCATGAAAAAAAATACATCAAATAAACCAGAACTGGCCCAAATCTGGGCCACATTTATTTTAATTCTGGCCCAGATCCGGCCCACATACTGCGTGGAATAATGGCATTTGGGCAGTTCAGTTCTGTTTGCCAGATTTGGGCCTCAAGTAAGCCTTAGCATTGCAGCATGTAAGCCAACCAAATAAACCAAAACTGGCCCTAATGTGGGCAACAGTTGATTTTTATTCTAACCCTGGTCTTCCCCACATTCCTCATGTGGCACACATGCTGCATGGAATGGTGGCATTTTAGCAGTGGTCCACAAGCAGGCCACTACACAGCCACATTTTAGCTAATAATGAAC